AAAACATAATAATGAAAGAACTAAATTTTCTATACAATGCATAATTTCTATTTTCAATTGACGCAATTTTCTGATATCATTATTTTTGTAGAAAAAGTAATAAATATATAACCAATAAAAAATACATTATAAAAATATAAAGTAATATTTTTTTATATTATACAACAATGTGTTTTGAGCGGGCGCGTGAACTTGGCATTTTTTTTTACCTTATGATACACCCTATATATGTTAAATTTAATCATATATATTTTGACTGATTAAATGTATATAATTCTGAATAGAAACTTTTTAAGCTGTAATATATGTGGAGATACACGTTGTGCAATAAGATATCAAATTAGTAAGAATATTAAGAAGAGCAGCATCATATTTTTTAATACCAAAATACGATAGTGTGTATATTTTCTTCTCTATAAAAACCAAAAGATTAAATATATATACAAACACAATTAAAATAAAAAAGTATAGTCTTATTAATGTGTTTTCACAAAAAAATACAAGATAATTATTGAATTAAGATATTAAAGAAATTAATTACGATTGATATTAAAGAAATTAATTATGAATAAACATACAATTAACTTCATTTATTAACAATAAATATTATATTATTATATGTATAAGCATACAAAAAATACTAAACATTGCCTACCAAAAAAAAAAAAAAAGAAAAGATATTTAGAGTATATCTTTATAAATATTTTAGTAATAATCAAATATAAATAATCATTAATTGTTATTAATAATCAAATAAGGTCAATAATAATTCAATAACACAATTTGTTTTATAACTATTTAAGTAAGCTCTTTAAAAGCAGACAATGTTAGAAAACGCAATGAAATGTTTAAATTTTAGCAAAATATTACTACAAATATGTAGACCAAAGTACTATAATTGATTACACAGTTCAACAAAAAAAAAACACCGGGACGGAACTACCCGTTTCTTATAGATTTTTGGACGCTGAACACGAATCCGATTGTGAAATTGCTCCATCACGTCAGAATTTTGAGAAATTCGCAACTAAAGTTACAAAAAGGGCTATTTTCACGAACTTTGTCATATTATAACTACAATATGTGACGTGTTGGAGAAGTTTTATTACAATCAAAATAAAGTATGTTGTTAGGACTTTCAACCCTCAAAAGGAATTTTTGGTGTCAGTTATGGTTAATAAGATATCTATGGTTAAATATGGGATATATTGCAGAAGTTAGCTGTGACTTAGGTCATTGAGGATTTACCAGATACCTTTCAATTATATTTATTTAAACGTAAGAGTTTTTTAGATCGCTGAATACGAATTCAATGTCAAAATTGTCAAATTCAAAATGGTGGACTCAATATGGCGGATGCCAAACCTTAAAAAATATTTAGATTGCAATCTGAACATTTGAGTCCACCATTTTGAATTTGACAATTTTGACATTGGATTTGTATTCAGCGATCTAAAAAACTCTTAAGTTTAAGTAATAATTGAAAGCTTTTGGTAAATTGTCAATGACCTGAGTCATAGCTAACTTCTGCAATACACCCCATATTTAACCATGAATATCTTATTAACCATAACCGACACCAAAAATTTCTTTTGAGGGTTGAAAGTCCTAACAACATATTTTATTTTGACTGTAATAAAACTTCTCCAGCACGTCACATATTGTAGTTATAATATGACGAAGTTCGTGAAAATAGCCCTTTTTGCAACTTTAATTGCAAATTTCTCAAAATTCTGACGTGATGGAGCAATTTCACAACTGGATCGTGTTCAGCGTCCAAAAACCTATAAGAAAGGAGTAGTCCGGTTCCAGTGTTCGAAAAAAAATCATTTTTTGTTGAACAGTGTAATTGTGATCGAGATTTACATTTATTTTTTTTTATTCACGAATCATATTTATTTCAATGTATTTCAAAAACTCATATGATTACATAATAATATGAGATTAGAAGCTTTAAAAGTTGAACGTGTTTTTAAATCATAATAGAGAAAGAAAAATATGTGTATATATTTAATTTAAAAATTTATTATTCTCTACTATTCACTATTCACGAATAGATAGACAATACCTCTTGAGAATGATTCACTAGTCAGAGAATGCTTTTTAACAGATGAGGATTGAGCAGCAGCTTCTAATACATTTTTTCTCGCATTTACTAGCTTGTCTTCTCGACTAATCAGAAATAATCTTGCTTGTTCAACCAATAAATCTATATTATTGTGTTTTGAGAGAAATTGATCTATTTTGTGCTTTAATGATGCAAGCACCTGTAATATAATAAATTAGCAGATGTTATCTTAATTTAATTACAATGTAATTGGTAATAATTATCTAGATAATAACAATGTTCTTTTAAAAAAATATACAACTGTTTGCAGCAATTATTGTTTGGAATTGTAATCGATAAATATATACCTGAAACAAGGATCTGATGCTAGGTTGAAACACAAGAGAATGATTCAGCAGAAAGGATTGCAATAAAGGTTGCGGATATATCGCCAGTCTACTAATAAGACCTGTGAGATGTAAATTGACATACAAGTTATTACTAGTCATACATTCAAGCTTTCGTAAAACTACGTCTAAAAATATGCCGACGTTTGGCTGTCCATTAAATATATCTTGTCGATACGAAGTATTACTCTTATTAGATTTACTCAATGACGTTTTTTCAGTTGTCAAAGGATTCGATTTTATAAAATTATGTCCAACAATATCATTAATATCCTTCTTAATTACGATATGCATTTCTTCGTGTTCATTCAAATGATCTTCGTTTGTTTCATTGTCCGGCGTTGACTCCGGCGATCCTTTAAATGCAAAGCTTTCATAACCGCTACTCTCTCCTAGCGACATGAGCGAATTCATGGTTGTAGCTGAATCGTCTATACAGCTATCAGATTCCTTTTTATCTAAAGCAACTTTAATTGCAAATTTCTCAAAATTCTGACGTGATAGAGCAATTTTACAACCGGATTCGTGTTCAGCGTTCAAAAACCTATAAGAAACGGGTAGCCCGGTTCCGGTGTTCGAAAAAAAAGTCATTTTTTGTTGAACAGTGTTATTTATCGATTATCGATTCAAGTGAATAATTAAAAAACAAATTGTGGAATGTTTTAATAAATTTTTTAAATAGTGTTTAAAGAACAGTTGCTTGATTTCAAGAAGAATATAAAATGATAACTAAGTTTGATCTTAGGTACAGATATCAAGATCATTTCAACGTTATTTTAGAATATTTGAATTAAAATTCAAATTTTCTATTGCATATTCTTATACCTAATATTGAGACTTTTTCGAAATAGTAGTTATGAATTTTTTATATCATTTATTTTAACAAATATGTACTCTTGGAGAAATTGAGAATACATAATCAATTAGAAATTGAGACATTACCATAACATAATCACTAGATATACAAGGTTCTTTGACAGTTGTGCATGTACCCAGATAGCAAAATACTAGTAGTGTGCCAGCAAATTCAATCATGATTTTACAACAAATTTTGTTTTTTACCTCATTAAACTCAAATGCCGACAGTACAGCTTGTCAATATAATATGACGGTAGAAATGCAAGAAAAATCGAGCATTATTATGTCATGCCAACAAATATATAGCAAATATCGAGCAGGGTCTGTCATTATCTGATAGCAGTGGTCGAGAAATAGCAGAAATCAAGTATATGATATGCTTTTATGTCATAACAAAAACGCCGCAAGAGTGCAGCATAGTTTATCAATATTAAATACTGATAGCAAAAACGTTTGTGGACTTATGGAAAATGAGTCAATCGGCGGATCACATTACTTTGTACTTTTCAAAGATGACTTCAACATTTCGTCGAGTGTTCTTTTTGAAACATAAATCTGGAGTTGCAAAATGTCTCGAAACATTTCTTGCTGAGGCAAAAATAGCTGGTCACATCATAAAAAGTTTAATGTGTGATAGAACGGAATTTGTTAATTGTAATGTAAAGAAGATTCTAAGTAGATGGGGCATCAATATGAGGACCGTAATGCCATACATGCCTGAACAAAACGGAGGAGCGGAAAGGGAAATGCAAACTTTGGTGGGGAGTGCACGGTCTATGTGCAGGTAAACTTTCAAAAGAGTGGGCAGAGGCAGTAAACACTGTGTGCCATATTATCAATCGTACGTCCATTAGCAGTTGACGAGAAAGCACCCATTGAATTATGGTTTCAAAAGGGATTATGTCAAATTATCATTTCAGAGATTTGAATCTATATGTTATGTACACATATCGAACCAGAAACAACAAGAATGGTCTCCAAAAAGAATTTTAATAGGTTATCGTGAGGAAGAAGATGGTTATCGTATGTTCACTGGTAAAGTAATTACGTCATGCAATGTAGTATTCGAACCTAAGAAGCCGAATGTGTAATCGACAAAATATTTTACTGATGATGTAGATACTGAAGACGAAAAACCTGTTTCTTCTAAGTTGCTACTCTTGAAATAGATGATGGAACAAATGAGACATCAGATGCTGAAGGAGTTGAGAATGCTAATGACGAGGACAATATCGTAGATGCAGAAAATGTATCTCTTGGAAGTAATAATAAAGATTCAAAAGATTCAGAATTGACGGAAAAATTTAAGAGAGTAAAGATAAAACCAAAATATTCAAATGATTATGTTTGTGTTGCTAAAAAAATCCCGGATATTCAAAAAGCATTGAAATCCGCACAATTGCGCCATGCAATGGATAATGAAATGCATTCTTTACTGAAAAATAAAGTCTTCGATCTCGTAGATCTGCCAATCGGTGAAAAAATTGTGGGAAATCGCTGGATTTTACGAACCAAGTTGAAAACAGATGGAACTATCGATCGTTACAAGATGACTTGTCGCTAAAGATTACTCTCAGAAACAAGAAATGGACTTTGAAGAGACTTTTAGTCCCGTCGCAAGGTTCAAGACCGTAGATGTGCTAAGTGTTGCTCGCATAAGTATCACTTATTACTATTCTCCACTTTCAATCAAATATTCTCTTCAGAGTTTTTTTCGGAATCGTGGAAACATTCTCTAGACTTCCTGATACCTAAAACTACCCCAAGAAAATATTGTTCAATTTTTCTCACTTCTTGCTGTCTTAAACTTCTCGAAAAACTAATTGCTCTTAAACTAGATTGATGGCTGGAACATAACCATAAGCTTCCTGTTACTCAGTTTGGTCTCAGAAAGTTCAGATCGTGCCAGGATATCTGCTCTTATTACGAAAATTATTATACTAGTTTTGTTCGAGGGGCCGTTATGGCTTGTCTTTTCCTAGATCTTTCCTTCGATGATGTAATACCTAAAATCCTAACAGAGGATCTAGAAGACATTGGACTCCCCCCGATACTGTGTCAATTTATTTATAATCTTATTCATTTAAAAAAAATTCAATTTTCCATTAACGGGGAGTTATCTGGAGAATTTCACTCCTTTAAAAAAGGGTACCACAAAGATGGATTTCAAGCTCCATCTTTCAAAATATTTATACATATCTAAATTTAAAAAAACAAAACATATTGATAAAGATTGCGAGTAATTCAATTCGCGGACTTCTCCTTCTAAATCCTCGTTCATTTTCACAAGGAAACGTATTGATCCGCTTTCCTATTCCATCAAAGTTAATCACATTAACATAAATTTCTCCTCTTCATGCAAATTTTTAGGCATTTCCGCTTCTCTGGGAGAGAAGCATATGTTAATCGTTGCTCTAAATTACTCAATATTTTGGGAATGTTAAGGGTACTTGGTGGAAAGTTTATCCTCGCCTTTTATTAAATATCTATAAAGCCCTTATTAGAGACTCATAGAATATGGATGATTAGTATTCTCTTATAACATTCATTCAATTATGTACCAGTTGGATAATATTTAATTTAAAGCACTCCAATTCTGCTTGGGATTCAGAAGAATCACTCCCACTAATGTTTATTAGCCACACTAAAAAAGTTTGTGAAGATGACGGATTTCTGAATAGAATAAACGAAAATGTATTCCAGAGAATGAAGAATCGCGAGGTTTTCGCTGGAAGATAAAAGCGGCAGAATACATTTTATGAAGTAATTATATATTAAGAGAGGGAGAGTAAATGACAAATTCAACGTATATATCTGAATCAGTCTTGGAAGCATCTGTAAAAAAGGGAATACGATCCTGTAGGAATTGATCATATAAATCAGAAAAAAACCAATTAAGGGATGGGAGAGTTTCTAATATTATCAACTTCAAAAGAGTGTAATTTTTATATAAAAGAAATAAGGGCTCAATAATCAATGGAGTAGACTGAATATAAACAAGATTAGCGATCAGTCGCTTATATTTCGAGTAGACATAGAACGATTTGTAATAGAAAATAGTCCGATGGATCTCTTTTGCGGAAACCGTGCATACCATTGGAGGCAGTATAGTTTATCCACTGTGGGTTGTCTAAAGAGAACATTTTAAGAATGTATTTGGAGGGGAAGATAAGAAAATCTCATTTTAAGCGGACTCTCTTCGGCTTCAACTGATAAACATTAGTAGGAGTGATTCTTCTAAATCTGACGCAGAATCGGAGTGCTTTAAATTAAATATTATTCAACTGGTACATAATTGAATTGCAATCTGGTTCCAAATCCAAGAAGTCTTTACGGAGCCCCGCTTCAAAATCACTTTCTCTGAATATGTCCTTTTTTAACGAACAGAAAATCAGATGAATGAAATTAGCTCCCCAATATTAGAAATAATTAGGTTTTTTACATGATTCGATTGCATATTGTTTGCACATGATTGCACATTTTTTATTTTTGTTTGCACATCTCTAGTAAAAAAGTTATTCAAAAAAGAATTTTGGGGGTGCCAACTTCACATTAGCCCCCCAATTTTCGCAAAAATAATTTCCAATGAACCTAATCGATAGATTTTCGTTTTTGCACATTTCAAAACAGTTTGAATTTTTGTTTGCACATCTCTAGAAAAAGTTATTCACAAAAAGCTTTTGAAGGGACCAATCTTACGTTAGCCCCCCCAACTTTTATAAAAATGGTTTTCAATCAACCTAATCGATAATTTTCGTTTGCACATTTGAAAACTGTTTGAATTTTCGTTTGCACATCTCTAGAAAAAGTTACTTAAAAAAATAACTAAGAGGTTAATTTACATTCAAAATAATTCAAATTTCATGAAAATCTTTTCGTAATAAGCTTAATCCATAGATTTTCGTTTGCACATTTCAAAACAGTTTGAATTGTTGTTTGCATACCTTCTGAAAAGGTTATAAAAAAGCTTTTTATAAAAAAGTTTTTTTAGCCTCCCAGTTTTATTTTTTTTTTGTTTAACCCTTTTTATAGAGATGTGCAAACAAAAATTCAAATTGTTTTGAAATATGCAAAAGAAAATCTATGGATTAAGCTAAAGATTTTCGCGAGATTTGAATTGTTTTGAATGTGAAGTTAGCCCCTTCCAAAGATTTTTTTTAAATAACTTTTTCTAGAGATGTGCAAGCGAAAATCTATCGATTAGATTGATTGAAAACCATTTTTATAAAAATTGGGGAGCTCCTGTAAGGTTGGCTCCTTCAAAAGTTTTTTGTGAATAACTCTTTTTCTAGAGATGTGCAAACAAAAATTCAAACTGTTTTGAAATGTGCAAACGAAAATCTATCGATTAGATTCATTGGTAATTATTTTTGTAAAAATTGGGGGACTAATGTGAAGTTGGCCCTCCCAAAATTCTTTTTTTTTTAGAGGTGTGCAAACAAAAATAAAAAATGTGCAATCATGTGCAAACAATATGCAATCGAATCATGTAAAAAAACTTAATTATTTCTAATATTGGGGGGCTAACTTCACCCATCTCAGAAAATCTTTAATAAACTCGCTGAAAAAGATCGAAATATCACTCCCGTTTAATACGTCAGAATTGCTCATTAAATCTTTCTTCGGGATTGTTCTGGCAATACATTTTTTTCTCAGATCTTGTAAAATCCAGATCTAGACTTTTCCCGATATTTCTCATAATCCTTCTTTTACTCTATCCACTTACTTATTTTTCCTATAATATTCATTTCCTTTTTTATTTACCTCTTTCTTTTACTTATTTGTTTTGAGAACAAGTCAAAAAAATAGGGTTCTCTTAAGGAGATCCAAGCGTACACTTTCTTAACTCTCTCACTCTTTCAATCAGTTGATGACAATAAAATCGGACTTGCCTTAATTTTAACTGTCGAATATAAATCATAAAAGATGAAGAAGATATAAACTCTTCATCAATTGCTGGCCGTTTGAGCATTCGTCGGTGCCATTATAATTTACGAAAAAGAAGGTGATGAAATAATGGCAAAACACAACAATATAAGATATATTATATCGTGTTATAGTTCTTTTGGTTACCGCTATACATATATAGTTCCTCCTAAAGTTTCTATCACTGGCAAATATAAAGACTGCAAAATGAGGCTAAAAAGATTAAAAATGTGCAGTATTTATTTTTATTGCTTTAAATTCTGATACAATTCCAACAGAGGATTCAAAATATTAAATTGATTGTTAAAATGTTATTATTTTATTAATTATTTAAGTATACCTCAATCATTTATATTATATAGAAAATAATTACGCGATATAACATATATGTTACACATTAAATACTATATTTATAGCTGGAAAACTACAAGTAATTGACGACTTACCGATAACATTTATGTAATAATACTTGTAACATTTAGTTTTGTTATATTTATATATTAATATAATTGTGTTTACCAAATATGTTTTGTTTTCGCCGCATTTTGTCGCCACTTTGTGAGAGGAGGCTATTCTCAATTTATGCTATCTGCTATCCCATTGTGATAGTAAAATTTATTCATTTTTAATACATTTTTACCATTAATAATTGATATAACAGACTTCGTTTAATATTAGTTACATTTTTACCGACACGGTATGATGGCAATGCTTAATTTTTGTTGCATTTTTTGCGTTCACACTATGCCAACAGTTTATGCTGGTAGAAAATAAGCAATTGCGAATACAGTGGATAGGAATCTGCTATAAAATCATGATTAAATTTGTTGTCATACTGCAGATATGATGCTGGCACATTTTACTAAGGTATTATTATACATATAAAGAGAGAAAAATCCTCAATACACAAAATTAAAATATAAAATAAAACAAAGAAACAAAAATGCCATTCTTCTGATTGAAAAATATAATAAATTTTTTCTGTAAAAGAAAAAAAAGAAAAAAATGGCGTGGAAAATTAAATTAACGTCAGCCGAGTACAATTATCTCTATATCGATATACACTAAATACTATAATAATCAACGAATTATGCATTAAAACATGTACCTGATCAGAATATTGTTCTTTATTCCTTGTGAATGGCATTACAGTTTCTTTATTTCCTCTGATATTGTTTCCTTTACTTCCCCTATTTCTATTTTTTGTATCTTCTTTGTTTTTTTTTTCTTTAGTTTCTTTCGCGTTATACCTTATAGAAATGTCGCTCGGGAAAGTGATCTCTTTTTCCTTCGCGGTATCTTTTGCGTTATCGAATTTTTCGCTTGTTTTTATTATATTTTCCTTATTCTGCATGTTACATACATCTACAGTTTGTTTATTAGCTTTTATATTTCTTCTTTGACATTTAGAACGTTTCATGTTTAATTCGTTCTCGACAGCTAGCTTGTTGTCTTTGAATTTTTCAGCCTTAAATTTCAATGTGTTAGTATTGATTACATCTTGACACATGTCAGTTATAGAACTGTCAATCTTAAGCGTGCAGGTTCTCACAATTTTATGAGACATTACCTTGAAATATATAGTCCAAGCTATGCAGATATATACTAATATATTCAATAACATAAGAAGTAAAAATAAAATCTTTCTCTTTTTTTTATACAATCAATATATATGTAATATGTACTATGTACTGTGTGTGTGTATGGTTGATAACTAAATATTTATGTACTATGTAATGTTCAAATAGGACATATATAAGTATTACATATATACTATCATTATTATTTTATCAGATGGTTTTATGTTAGAAAAATGTAGAGATAAGTTTGTGAGATATGGAATCAAGGAAGCATTTCACATTTTCATTGTATAGAACTTTTCCCAACAAGCATGAATAAAAGCATGAGTAGGCAGTAAAGATAATTTTGTTAATACCAGATATTCCCGTGTGTTAGAAATATAAATGTGTTAGTAAATATTAATACTTATAGATAGTATAATACAAATATGCTGCAAATGTAAGAGGACGACAATATTAGCTGCCTCTCTTTATAAATGCTATGATTAGGACTAGTAAATTTAAGAGTTAATTTACTTGATAAAAGAATTATAAATATACTTTCCAAAATATAAATAAAAAAGTTATTTTTTAAATTTGTAATTATATTGAATTTGGAAAAAATTATAATTTATTTCAAATAACATGTATACATACAAACATCATTTAGTAAATTCAGTGATTCTTTAAATCCGTCTTTAATATATAACTACAATTTCAGATAACATACTAAGAAATTTCCTCTGTTTGTTTATATCTTTTGAGAATATATAATACGTATACATACAAATGCATGTATATACACAGAACATTCAAATATTATTACTTTATCTCATTCTGTGTCATAATCTATTTAACTAAGTAATAGATAAGTATAAGTATTTCTTACCTTAGCCATTTTTTCAAAATATTGTCGTTCTGCTTTATCGTAGGATGGCTTATCAAACCATACCTTTTCCTTAGCCAGTGCAGCAGTTGCCAATGTAGCAGTTGCCATTGTTTTGGTCTATTTTTTGAAGCAAAATGCTATGAATTTCTGCAAATAAGATGAAAGCAGCATAAAAAAAAAGTCTAATTTGCATAACAAAAATATTCTTCAAATCATTCTTTATATTTTGTGCTTAAGAATCAGTTTAAAAGAGAATAAAGATATAAATTAATAAAATGTTCATATATATTTATTATGTAAAAATACAAAATCATTTGAGTATAATATAACAATATATTATCTGTCATAACACAAAATTATTAAAATTATTAAAGATTAACACAATCGTTAGAAAAAATTATCGGAATATATATATAATAATACTTAATTTACAATTTATTTATAACTTCATGCTTAAGGACTTGTAATGTATATTTTTCATGATTATTAATTCCATCACTTCCTTTTGTTTTAGTTTTGCTTTTAATTTCACTTAGCAAATAATATATCCTATGTTTTAGTTCTTCTGAACAAACACAGGGATGTATTTCTTCTGGCTTGAAATATTGTAGAAACTTCTTAAGTTCGTCAAAAGATGCATGTGCAGAATAACATACATTAAACGTCCTTTCTCTAGTATTATCCCATTCTCCGATTACACTTGTGTCTTTCCCCTTCCACTTTAATACAGATGGTACAATAGTTAGGATGTTCTTTTCTAAGATGTCACTACGACATTTTAAACCTGAACGGTCAAACTTATTCATACATGCATGTATACGTGTAGCCAGTGGATTATCCGTGACATAATCTGCTATACTTGAGATACAATTATAATTCTTGTACACAAAATTCTTAATATGAATACATGTTTTCAAAAATTTTGATAGCTCCACATAAAGAAACTCAGAGCCATACAAAGCAGAACATTCCAAAACAACAACATTTCCTGAACTTTTCTCTAGCCATTCTTTGACAACTTTACACATTACATTTATACTTTCTTCTCTTGTTGGGAAAAAGACAAAATTAGGATCTAAGAATGTTGTATCTAAATACATCTTTGCTAACTTTTTTGGATACATATTGAAATTTTTGCATGAATGTAATGGTGCTATCTTTGCAAAATCTTTTGGATTAATTCTGAAATCTCCAGTATATAATACTAATTTATCAGTCTCAAAAAGAAACATTACAGAGCCAGGGCAATGTCCAGCAGAAATACATGTTACAAAAAGAATATCAGTATTTTTATCATTATCTTTGTTTTTATATTCTACAAGGACTTTCTTATCAAGAGCAATATCTTTTACACAACTTTCTGTGTAGCGATATTTAGCTTTTAAGAAAGTTTTACTAATACAACTGCAATAAAAATATTTATTGCATTGTTGCAAACATTTGAAAAATTCATCATCCAACCCTTGCATATGATCAGTGTGACAATGACTAAGAAAATATGCAGAGGAGTTTGAATTCTTTTCAAAACGATCCACTGAGATGCCTGGTATTTCTTCGATAAGTCCGAAAAACGTTGACATTCTGATGCATAAAAAGAATACCTGTAATGAAGAAACCAGGCATCAACCAACCCTATGCAAGCATATTAGATAAATTTACATTTATCATACTTAATTATTTATATTCTTGTAAAATATTTTTTTTCTGAGAAAAATTACTTTAAAATCTTTCAATTTTTTTTTTTTTAATATTACAGACCAACAATATTAAATATCATATTCTATATTCACAATGTAGTATATTAGCAGAAACTTTTTTTGTTTTTTTAAAGTGATGAGGATGTGTGTGTATGTATGCACTATATATACATATATGATACTGCTATATACTATATAGTAAAATTAGATTGTGTAGATCAACATAAACTCCTAAGTATGTTATTAATTTGTAATTATTTTTTTATTTATATAATTTTTCAATTTAGCCACATATAAATTTTGTATAGAATTCTATTCTAATTTCCTATATTTCAAAATTTGTAATATTGTTATGAAAATTTGACACACATCTCCCTAATAAATTATCTTTCAAATAAATTGTTATATTAATAATGTATTAAAATCAATATGAGATTATGTATTCACACAAGATTGAAGATTAAAATTTAATCAATTACAACAAAAAGAAGCAAAGATTTTTTTATCATTATTGATCAAATTCTTATCTTCACTGCAGTCTGATACTATATTTAAGTTTAAGAATATATTGATTATATTATAACTCTGTGCATGTGTACTTTATCTATACAACCAATTTCTTAATCTTAAAAAAAAAATTAATTTTTACAAGTCATAATTCTTTTTATAGTGTTGAGTAATAATTTTAATTATTTTTGTAATCGATCCAAACTAACAATAAGTAATACCAAGTGTTGTGTGTAAAATGTGATGTTATATAAATAAAGATCTTTAATTGTATATTTTTCTTGTAAACTTGACTGTACAGTATCAAAATAAATTTGTTTTTTGAGATACTATATATTAGGTATTTTACAAAAAATCCCAAATTTTCTTAAAACAGCTATTTCTATAATTATATTTGAATAAAATGACAATATTATATATAGTGAAAGCAATGAACTAGCATTAATCAATTCACAATTGTTATAAAATTATTAGTGATTTTATAAAATAAGTAATTACATAAAAAGATATATACATTTTACCTCAAAAAACAACCAGTGATTCTATAGAAGTGCCAGAATTTTTGGAAACTTACTAGAATTAAATATTTATTTATATATATATGTATAATTTTATAGCCATTCGGTTAATTAAAACGATAAACTGATATTTTGGATTCGACAAACCGACAGTTCCTCAAAACTTAGACGTACTGTACATTATTTCACCTCGATCTGTACCATGTGCAATATATCGAGAACTGCAAGTTAATATTCGTAAATTTATATATTTTTTTTGTAGTGATATTAGCCAGTGTATGTTAGCACAAACCAAGGAAAGATTGGAAACGAATTAAATATTTTTAGGTATACCTTGAATTACGTCAAATTGGCGCAATAATTCTCTGTTAGCTGAATGCAGCAAAGGAAACGTTGCCAAGTGTGCTGACGGAAATAGGAAAGCAATTAAAAGCATTGATTGTATTCAGCAAAGAAAAGTTAGAGACAGTAGGGTCACTTTGGGCGCGTTCAGGAGACACAACCGTTGAGCATCGTCTTGTCGACGTTGATTTGTTGGTCCTAGAAGTAAGAACCAATCACGTTCGATTACTACTCAATAGTTGTGTCTCCTGAACGCACCCATAGCTGTGTTCCGATTCCCCACCCGGGTGCACCCGGTATTATAGTATATGTCACATATACTATAATATTGGGTGCACTCGGGTGGGGAATCGGAACACAGCCCATTGTGTGTTTCCATCGAGGGTTCGAATCGGGTCAGAGTCGATCATAGACATAGTATATCTAGACCGAGCGTTTGCCTTTATTTAAGGAGTGGGGGTAAATATGCACGTAGAAAAGGACATACTCTGTTTCGTGCCCCTTGCGTTCTACTTAAAGTTGAACTCTACCCAATGGGATGTTTCCACCGTGGTCCTACGCCGCACTAAGTGCGAATTAATACTTCGGTGGAAACTAGACCATTGTAATCAGAGACTGACTACGAAGGCTGCGGTCGAGAAGACGCTAGAGATGCTTCGAAGCATTGCATTAACCAATTAGAATAAAGAAATCTTTACTCTCTTTGCCCTGATTGGTCAAACGTTTCGAAGCATTTCTATCGTCTTTCCGACCGCAGCTGAAAAGGCCACTTTTGATTGGTCCGCCATTTTTCATCTCTTCCCGCTGATTTTTAAATATGTTAATTAAAATGTAACACAATTTAAAAAAAATTAACGTTTCAAAGTAAATAAAAAGTATTTTTTGTCATACAATTTTAATTTTTTATAATATCTATTTATATTAAAATATAAAATTGGATAGTTATGAAGATTAATATATGTATATTCACAAAATTTTATTTTATATAATCATTACCAATTTATCAATATATTCTACCGGTGGGGTGGGTGCGGGAGGGGGGCCCCCCTTGCACCCTCCGTGTGTGTGTGTGTGAGTGCGCGCGCGTGCTTCCTGGCTATGCATGTACTTTGGTACATTTTTAACTTTTTTTGTTAATAACTTTTTAATAAGCAACGAGCGACGATTAAATTAGAAGAAAAAGTTACTCAGAAATATACCCTTAACAACATATATCAAGGTCAAGATCATTGGGGCTGGGTCCCCTTTTCGCTATATTTACCTTTTATTTTTGAACACCCTATATATGTAAAAACTTGTGTTTATTTCAGTTTATATGTGTAGTATACGTAGGACTATTTCTGTAAACTAACTTAAATATCCAGTTTTTCATAGTCAGACTATGTATAAATCTTGATTTTCACAAATTTTTGTTTGTTAATAACTTTTTAACATATGTCAAGGTCAAGGTCATTGGGGCTGGGTCCCCTGTTCGCTATATTTATCAATAATACAAATGAAGTGAAATAAATAAAGTAAAATAAAACATGAAAAAAAGCAATTTTTTTTATTTAAAATAATGGTTGTAAAATACAATTTTATTATTTTTTTACAATAATTAATACTTTATATTTGTTGACATTAATTTCTTATTATAAATAAACTTTCTATTGCAATATTAGGTGTACAAATAAGTTTCCGCCGTTTGACAAAAGTTGGCGCCACCAGTAAGTTATGGTTAAAATTGTCAGATGTAAAACGTCCTTATCGTAAGATTGGACATCAGTCAATAACATAACCTTAAAACATTAGTGATTTTTTATCAGAATAATATATTCTTTTACAATAAATGCCCAATTTTTGATAAAAAACGGCGGAAACTTATTTGTACACCTAATATATAGTAAGTAAACAAAATCTGCAAAGAAAATAAACGAAGATATTAAGATCACAATAAAAATGATATCAAAATAATGTCAAAATGACATCAAACAATATCAAAATGACATCATTTTAACATCATTTTGACATCATTATGATTGTTTGTTCTGTTTGGGACATGTTGTTTCATTAACAAGAGTTATTTAAATGCAAAATGCATAGCCATAGATTTACTGTCATATATTCTATTTACAATGATTTTATCTTTTTTATTAAAAATCATTAAAATAAAAAATCACTATACACGCACACGCGCACGCGCACGAACTCGCACACGCACGCAACACACACACACAAACACACACACACACACACGCACGCACGCACGCACGCACGCACGCACGCAAGCACGCGCGCACACGCACACGCACACGCCACGCACACGCACACAATACACTTCGTGCAAAAGCTTTTACATGTTTAATGCATTTAGTCACATGCACGCAAAGTAAAATATCGGTCGTGATATCACGTCATTATAGGTTAGAGTGAAATAGTATATATTTTTTTCTCTCTCGTAGAATTTAGTCAAAACATGGCGGACACGACATTGTGGCCAGTTTCTGATTACATTTACACGTCACTTCTAATCAGGTTTAACAATATCCATAGTTTTAAGGCTGGCCTTATATCATTCCATTTTTCGGAGGAATAGCTAGGCTGCGTTCGGAAACATCATCCGTGTGCACACGAGTGTCGTTCTATCTTTGTTCAACTTTTAGTAATTAACGAAGATAGAACGAGGCTCGTGTGCACACGAGTGATGTTTCCGAACGCAGCCCTGTGATTGGCCAGTTTCACAACTACGGACTTTATTTAACTATAGACTTCTATATATTACCAGAGAGAACCCTAAGGGTGCCATTACATGGAGCGCGGAAACGCGGATTAGCGTAACGCGGAACGAGAAGGGAACCAATCGCGAGCGTAACAAAAACTGCAGAATGCTTGCGATTGGTTCCACTCTCGTTCCGCGTTACGTTAATCCGCGTTTCCGCGATCCATGTAATGGCACCCTAAGGGTGCAAACCCATGCAGCGGAATAGCATAACGCGGAACGAGAGCGGAACCAATCATGAGCGTTCCGCAGTTTTTGCAACGTGGATTTCAAGTCCTTACATCCCTATGGAGCGTAATGAGCACACCGCGGATCAATGCGCAACCAATCACGAGTCATTATTTCAAAAGAGTTAAAACCGCATTAAAACTTATTTAACTTATTTAACATTTTTAATCAATATTTCCAATAAGAACGCATTCATTTAGTGATGTAAAGACCGTGAGTAACGAAATGGGCAATTCCCATTTGCTCTTAAAACTTTTAAGATTATTAGAGAGTAACTATTTCGTTACTCTCGGTCTTTACATCACTAAAAACAGTATACTCTCCTACTCCTACAGCCTTGTTACTGCCATTGTAGACGGCCCTTAAGAGCGCTCAATTATTGTCTTGTCAACACTTGACGTTGATTCGTTGGTTCTAAAAGTAAGAACCAATCACATTCGATTGCTACTAAGCGGTTTCCTCTGCTGAACGCGGCCAATGCCTGCCATTTTCGTGGAACGCTTTTTCTAGGCTGTAGAGCAGCGCCGTGCATCCACTTTTAGGAATTGGAAACACTTACCCACATCCACTTTTTGGTACTGTCAGTTAAATCTCCATATGGTTCATGTCTGTGCTACATCCACTTTTCGATTTTTTCAATAGTAGTAGTATACTGATCGCTTGACAAAGAGCTCTGTTATGCGGGGTCTACAATGCAGTCGTAAGAGCCCTAAGCCTTAAGAATTGACTAATCACAGTCGAGTATTCTCTTCATACTTGACTGTGATTGGTCAATTCTTAAGACTTAGGGCTCTTACGACTGCATTGTAGACCCCGCATTACACGGCACCCTTAATCGGATTTAATAACATCCGTAGTTGTGAAACTGGCCAATCACAGCTATTCCTCTGAAGAATGGAATGAGCATAAAAATATATATTTTTATAATTGTATAATATATTATATATTTTTGTTCTGTTTCTTCTTTTTATAATTACACAGTCTAAACAAAATTTTTTTCTTATATATTTTGTTAAAAGTATGAAAGATATAAATACTAAAAGGTATTGAGTTTAGCTATATAATTAGTTATATAATTTCCTAAAATTATTTAATACTATTCATATATAGATAATTGTTTTTTAAAATGACTAAATGCACCGCGAAAATTCTCAAAATTAAAAGTTTTTTTTCAATATTTTATATTTCATTGATATAAAATATTGAAGAAAAGCTTTTATTTATAGAAAAGTATTGTCTTATTATTAGACATAAATTTGTTAATATAAAGTGTGACGTAAAAATACTGATAAAATAATGTCAATATTGTAAAGTACATATTACAAAGAAGATCTAAATCTTGACATATCTTAAGCCCTTTTTCATTTTTAAGAAAAAGAAAATAACAACATCAAGATAGTAATATGTACTTTAAAGGTAGTTTATAAGTACACTCAGTTTCACTCTTCAATACATAAAAATCCATATTATAAAAATTACAACAAAAAATTTTAGATTCTATAATAATTCATTAAGCCAATCAAAACTATTATATTACTTCATGTAGAAGCTACTGTATTACAATTAAAATAACTTTTAGAATTATTCCTCTTTGTGCGTAATAATTTAGTTGCAGTTTTAAAGAGAACATTAAATTAATTTTATTTAATATATCCATTGACATTTTTAATATCTTTTTTTTTCTTCCTCTTCTTTAATTTAAAATAGACTATCCTTTTTGCCTTCGTTCTTTCTTTCTCTCTTTCTCTCTCTGTCTTAAAATTAAATATAATAGATAATATTAATAATTTTTAATAATATTTCTTAATAATATTTAACAATTATGGTTGTTCTGTCTTTGTCTATTTGGCTGCCTGAGGTTTGAACGGGTGCGGCTCTCGTTCGGACCCCTGTTGTGCACCTTACGTCGAGGGGCTGTTGTAGTTTCCCTGAGTATTTCCTTTTTTCCGAAAATTACTGGCATGGCGTAATTGACAATTCTCGAGAAGATGACCT